CCGGGCGGCCAGGGAGGTCTGAGGCTTCTCCAGCAGGTCCCAGAGGAACTTCTGGTAGGGCGCGCACCAGCCCTCCCCGAAGTCCTCCTCCTCGCGCTGCCGCAGCGACTCCGCCTCCTTGCGCATCTCCTCGTGCACGTGCTCCTTGCGCTGGTGGTACTTGTGCTGGCAGCACGACTCGAGGTACAGCTCGTCGATGCCCCAGTACTCGAGGTCGTCGGAGAAGGCCAGCACGCACATCTCCTCCACCAGGTGGAGCTTGCCGGTGCGGTAGAAGTTGAGGATGGAGGAGAAGGAGCGCGGGTGTCTGTCGAAGAAGTATTCGTTGTCGATGAGGGAGTAGTCGTCGCAGATCTCCATGATGGCCTCGTGGGTGTTGCACTCCCGCAGGCGGCCCAGGCGGGTGTGCGGGAGGCGCTCCAGCGTCCGCCACAGCACCTCGTGCCGCACGCCGCCCACGTTGAGCTGCACGCGGCGGTTGAGCGCCTTAGAGCGCATGATCATGAAGGGCTCCGGGGGGAGGGAGGTCATGGAGCGGCTGTGGAGGCGTGTGAGCCCCGCCGACGACCCGCGCCCGCCGCCCCCGTCCTCCTTGTCCTCCTCCAGGGTGTCCATCAGCTCCTCACTGTCGGGGGGGACGGGGGCCCAGCGGACGCCCATGGTGGCGCCCCCGCCGCCCCCAGCGCCGGGCTCCAGCGCCCCCCCGCCCGTGCCGTCCCCGGTCATGGCCGCGCGCCGCCCTCACCGCCGCCCACCAGCCTGCTCCGCCGCCCACCGCCCACCATCACGCTGCAAAGAAAGAAAACAATATTAGTTATGAACTGCCGCCACAGAGGTCCCCAAGGGTCCCCAGGGGTCCCCAAGGGTCCCCAGGAGTCCCCAGGAGCCCACCCCACCATACTACTAATAATATATCTATATCTACAATATAATATATGCCAATCAGTTACAGGTTGGGGACCACGCAAGGACTAGCCTCACCAAACTTTGCAGGGAGACAGAACATTGTGTGGGGCAGGCATAGGCTGGTCACCTCTGAGATCATACCTACACATTCATGAAATGGCAAATTACACCAATTTTCTGTTTCGCTTCAAAAAGTTGGGAAGGTGGTGAAGGGTAGGGAAGGTGGTGAAGGGTAGGGAAGGTGGTGAAGGGTAGGGAAGGTGGTGAAGGGTAGGGAAGGTGGTGAAGGGTAGGGAAGGTGGTGAAGGGTAGGGAAGGTGGTGAAGGGTAGGGAAGGTGGTGAAGGGTAGGGAAGGTGGTGACGGGTAGGGAAGGTGGTGAAGGGTAGGGAAGGTGGTGAAGGGTAGGGAAGGTGGTGAAGGGTAGGGAAGGTGGTGAAGGGTAGGGAAGGTGGTGAAGGGTAGGGAAGGTGGTGAAGGGTAGGGAAGGTGGTGAAGGGTAGGGAAGGTGGTGAAGGGTAGGGTAGGTGGTGAAGGGTAGGGAAGGTGGTGAAGGGTAGGGAAGGTGGTGAAGGGTAGGGAAGGTGGTGAAGGGTAGGGAAGGTGGTGACGGGTAGGGAAGGTGGTGAAGGGTAGGGAAGGTGGTGAAGGGTAGGGAAGGTGGTGAAGGGTAGGGAAGGTGGTGAAGGGTAGGGAAGGTGATGAAGGGTAGGGAAGGTGGTGACGGGTAGGGAAGGTGGTGACGGGTAGGGAAGGTGGTGACGGGTAGGGAAGGTGGTGAAGGGTAGGGAAGGTGGTGAAGGGTAGGGAAGGTGGTGACGGGTAGGGAAGGTGGTGAAGGGTAGGGAAGGTGGTGACGGGTAGGGAAGGTGGTGAGGGTAGGGAAGGTGGTGAAGGGTAGGGAAGGTGGTGAAGGGTAGGTGGTGAAGGGTAGGGAAGGTGGTGAAGGGTAGGGAAGGTGGTGAAGGGTAGGGAAGGTGGTGAAGGGTAGGGAAGGTGGTGAAGGGTAGGGAAGGTGGTGAAGGGTAGGTGAAGGTGGTGAAGGGTAGGGAAGGTGGTGAAGGGTAGGGAAGGTGGTGAAGGGTAGGGAAGGTGGTGAAGGGTAGGGAAGGTGGTGAAGGGTAGGGAAGGTGGTGAAGGGTAGGGAAGGTGGTGACGGGTAGGGAAGGTGGTGACGGGTAGGGAAGGTGATGAAGGGTAGGGAAGGTGGTGACGGGTAGGGAAGGTGGTGACGGGTAGGGAAGGTGGTGAAGGGTAGGGAAGGTGGTGAAGGGTAGGGAAGGTGGTGACGGGTAGGGAAGGTGGTGACGGGTAGGGAAGGTGGTGAAGGGTAGGGAAGGTGGTGAAGGGTAGGGAAGGTGGTGAAGGGTAGGGAAGGTGGTGAAGGGTAGGGAAGGTGGTGACGGGTAGGGAAGGTGGTGAAGGGTAGGGAAGGTGGTGACGGGTAGGGAAGGTGGTGAAGGGTAGGGAAGGTGGTGAAGGGTAGGGAAGGTGGTGAAGGGTAGGGAAGGTGGTGAAGGGTAGGGAAGGTGGTGAAGGGTAGGGAAGGTGGTAAAGGGTAGGGAAGGTGGTGTAGGGGTAGGAAAGGTGGTGAAGGGTAGGGAAGGTGGTGAAGGGTAGGGAAGGTTATGGTCAAAGGTAGGAAGTGGTAGTGGTGAAGGGTAGGTAAGGTGGTGAAGGGTTGGGAAGGTGGTGATGGGTAGGGAAGGTGGTGGTGAAGGGAAGGGAATGTGGTGCTGAGGGGTTGGGAAGGTGGACGTGAAGGGTAGAGAAGGTTGTGGTGACGGGTAGGGTAGGTGGTGAAGGGTAGGGAAGGTGGTGAAGGGTAGGAAAGCTGGTGATGGGTTGGGAAGATGGTGAAGGGTAGAGAAGGTGGTGAAGGGTAGGGAAGGTAGTATTGATTACGGAACGTGGTGAAGGGTAGGGAAGATGATAATGAAGGGTAGGGAAGGTGATGTTGAAGGGTAGGGAAGGCAGTGAAGGGTAGGAAAGGTGGTGAAGGGTAGGGAAGGTGGTGAAGGGTAGGGAAGGTGGTGAAGGGTAGGGAAGGTGGTGAAGGGTAGGGAAGGTGGTGAAGGGTAGGGAAGGTGGTGAAGGGTAGGGAAGGTGGTGAAGGGTAGGGAAGGTGGTGAAGGGTAGGGAAGGTGGTGAAGGGTAGGGAAGGTGGTGAAGGGTAGGGAAGGTGGTGAAGGGTAGGGAAGGTGGTGAAGGGTAGGGAAGGTGGTGAAGGGTAGGGAAGGTGGTGAAGGGTAGGGAAGGTGGTGAAGAGTAGGGAAGGTGGTGAAGGGTAGGGAAGGTGGTGAAGGGTAGGGAAGGTGGTGAAGGGTAGGGAAGGTGGTGAAGGGTAGGGAAGGTGATGAAGGGTAGGGAAGGTGATGAAGGGTAGGGAAGGTGATGAAGGGTAGGGAAGGTGATGAAGGGTAGGGAAGGTGGTGAAGGGTAGGGAAGGTGATGAAGGGTAGGGAAGGTGATGAAGGGTAGGGAAGGTGATGAAGGGTAGGGAAGGTGATGAAGGGTAGGGAAGGTGATGAAGGGTAGGGAAGGTGGTGAAGGGTAGGGAAGGTGGTGAAGGGTAGGGAAGGTGATGAAGGGTAGGGAAGGTGGTGAAGGGTAGGGAAGGTGATGAAGGGTAGGGAAGGTGGTGAAGGGTAGGGAAGGTGGTGAAGGGTAGGGAAGGTGGTGAAGGGTAGGGAAGGTGGTGAAGGGTAGGGAAGGTGATGAAGGGTAGGGAAGGTGATGAAGGGTAGGGAAGGTGGTGAAGGGTAGGGAAGGTGGTGAAGGGTAGGGAAGGTGGTGAAGGGTAGGGAAGGTGATGAAGGGTAGGGAAGGTGATGAAGGGTAGGGAAGGTGATGAAGGGTAGGGAAGGTGGTGAAGGGTAGGGAAGGTGGTGAAGGGTAGGGAAGGTGGTGAAGGGTAGGGAAGGTGATGAAGGGTAGGGAAGGTGGTGAAGGGTAGGGAAGGTGATGAAGGGTAGGGAAGGTGGATGAAGGGTAGGGAAGGTGAAGGGTGAAGGGTAGGGAAGGTGGTGAAGGGTAGGGAAGGTGGTGAAGGGTAGGGAAGGTGATGAAGGGTAGGGAAGGTGATGAAGGGTAGGGAAGGTGATGAAGGGTAGGGAAGGTGGTGAAGGGTAGGGAAGGTGGTGAAGGGTAGGGAAGGTGGTGAAGGGTAGGGAAGGTGATGAAGGGTAGGGAAGGTGATGAAGGGTAGGGAAGGTGGTGAAGGGTAGGGAAGGTGGTGAAGGGTAGGGAAGGTGGTGAAGGGTAGGGAAGGTGGTGAAGGGAAGGTGGTGAAGGGTAGGGAAGGTGATGAAGGGTAGGGAAGGTGGTGAAGGGTAGGGAAGGTGGTGAAGGGTAGGGAAGGTGGTGAAGGTAGGGAAGGTGGTGAAGGGTAGGGAAGGTGGTGAAGGGTAGGGAAGGTGGTGAAGGGTAGGGAAGGTGATGAAGGGTAGGGAAGGTGGTGAAGGGTAGGGAAGGTGGTGAAGGTAGGGAAGGTGGTGAAGGGTAGGGAAGGTGGTGAAGGGTAGGGAAGGGTGAAGGGAGGGAAGGTGGTGAAGGGTAGGGAAGGTGGTGAAGGGTAGGGAAGGTGGTGAAGGGTAGGGAAGGTGATGAAGGGTAGGGAAGGTGGTGTAGGGAAGGTGATGAAGTGAAGGGTAGGGAAGGTGGTGAAGGGTAGGGAGGTGGTGATGAAGGGTAGGGAAGGTGGTGAAGGGTAGGGAAGGTGGTGAAGGGTAGGGAAGGTGGTGAAGGGTAGGTGGGAAGGTGGTGAAGGGTAGGGAAGGTGGTGAAGGGTAGGGAAGGTGGTGAAGGGTAGGGAAGGTGGTGAAGGGTAGGGAAGGTGATGAAGGGTAGGGAAGGTGGTGAAGGGTAGGGAAGGTGGTGAAGGGTAGGGAAGGTGGTGAAGGGTAGGGAAGGTGGTGAAGGGTAGGGAAGGTGATGAAGGGTAGGGAAGGTGGTGAAGGGTAGGGAAGGTGGTGAAGGGTAGGGAAGGTGGTGAAGGGTAGGGAAGGTGGTGAAGGGTAGGGAAGGTGGTGAAGGGTAGGGAAGGTGGTGAAGGGTAGGGAAGGTGATGAAGGGTAGGGAAGGTGATGAAGGGTAGGGAAGGTGTGAAGGGTAGGGAAGGTGGTGAAGGGTAGGGAAGGTGGTGAAGGGTAGGGAAGGTGGTGAAGGGGTAGGGAAGGTGGTGAAGGGTAGGGAAGGTGGTGAAGGGTAGGGAAGGTGGTGAAGGGTAGGGGAAGGTGGAAGGTGGTGAAGGGTAGGGAAGGTGGTGAAGGGTAGGGAAGGTGGTGAAGGGTAGGGAAGGTGGTGAAGGGTAGGGAAGGTGGTGAAGGGTAGGGAAGGTGGTGAAGGGTAGGGAAGGTGTGAAGGGTAGGGAAGGTGGTGAAGGGTAGGGAAGGTGATGAAGGGTGGGGAAGGTGGTGAAGGGTAAGGAAGGCGATGAAGGGTATGGAAGGTGGTGAAGAGGTAAGGAAGGTGGTGAAGGGTAGGGAAGGGGTGGTGAAGGGTAGGGAAGGTGGTGAAGGGTAGGGAAGGTGGTGAAGGGTAGGGAAGGTGATGAAGGGTAGGGAAGGTGATGAAGGGTAGGGAAGGTGGTGAAGGGTAGGGAAGGTGGTGAAGGGTAGGGAAGGTGGTGAAGGGTGGGGAAGGTGGTGAAGGGTAGGGAAGGTGGTGAATGGTAGGGAAGGTGGTGAAGGGTAGGGAAGGTGATGAAGGGTAGGGAAGGTGATGAAGGGTAGGGAAGGTGATGAAGGGTAGGGAAGGTGATGAAGGGTAGGGAAGGTGGTGAAGGGTAGGGAAGGTGGTGAAGGGTAGGGAAGGTGATGAAGGGTAGGGAAGGTGATGAAGGGTAGGGAAGGTGATGAAGGGTAGGGAAGGTGGTGAAGGGTA